GCAATCAGGTCCAAGTTACACCAGGAACTCCTTGCAGCAGAGGGCTGTGGACGCCAAGTTGTTGAGTGTATTTGAGACAAAGAAATCTAGGTCCTTGATTAGCAAGGGGATCAAGGGTTACAGGGAGAAGGCAGGGGAATGAGGCTGAGAAACAGCCATGTATCTGTTCCACAAGATGGCGATGGAATAGGACTTCTGAGCCCAGAGCTCGTCGGCTCCATGGCTTTTCTTTCTGTTTCTTTTCTATTTCTTTCTCTCTCTTTTTTGTTCTATTTTATTTTACTTACCTCTTGGTGAAGATCTCCGTCACGGTGATAGCTTTGGTGGCGGTGAGTGGGCCCAGCAGCGTGGACTCGTGGTGGCGGCACTGGAGGAGGCGGGTTTGGGTTTCCGGCAGCATCTGCAATCAGCGCGGATTCACGGACACAGCAGCGATGGTGTATTTGGGCCCTGTACGAGACCCTGTGGAATCGCCAGCGGCTGCAACAGCGAGGTGGGCCCAAAGTGGACTCATGGTGTGTAGAAGTCGGGTTTGGGCCGGCTCGGTACCCGGTGGCATTGATGTTTCAACGTGGTTCATCAAGGACTCAGTGGCAAGGACGTCAGTTGGAAGCAAGATGGCAGTGAAGAGTGGTGAGCCTCATTCCAGCAGTGGCAGCGGAGTGAAGGGGACTTGTGCCTGGCAACCAGGCCCAGGGCCCACGGCGTGCTTAACAAGAAGAACTATAAAGTTGGACACTTGCTTTATTTTTTCATTTTTCTGCCTTTATATTCTGTGTTTTGGTTTATCTTTCTGTGTTTTAAGATGGCGACGGAGAGCAGTGACACAATGCAACATTTTTCACTGTATTTTGTAACAAGATACACGTGACAATAAATTAAACAGAGAAGTCAAATTGACAGAGCAGACTCGATGGGCCGGCCGAACGATCTAATTCTGCTCCTTTATTGTATGGTCTTATGATCGTATGATAAGTTAGATGTTGTTACTGTGATAATGAGGAGATGTTGGATCACAGTTCTGTCCCTCTCTCTGGGTTGCTAAGATGCTCAGATTCTCCCCTCTCAAGTCCCTGTGATATCATCAGAATGGGTGGAACTTCATGCTGTCTGCAACATTAACCCTTTCAGAACCATTACCTTGTACAATCCCAAACCGTAAACCCCTCCAAAGGGGTTAAAATCCAGCCCTTAGATAGACAAGCTGATGCAGAATAGTCTCCTTAACAGCAATGTGGGACACCACCGACCACAATAGACTGCAAGGGTACCATCTCAATGGCAACTGAGGATCAGCAGTACACCAGCATCACCCACAGGCCAAGAGCTAATAAAGATAGATGTATGGAGTGACTGGTCAGTTCTGATTCATTTCACTGTCCTGCTCTATGTGCAGATTAGACAAATTAAGTAAAATGCTTGTAAAGGCAGTACCCAAGGGCACTGTTAGTTATCACTTCTCTGTTTTATGAGCGTGAGATTGCTAAATAAAATGCCTACTATAGAAGTTTAATGACAACAAGTCTGTTCTGTGCAGTTCAGTCTGCATATCGTACATATAATGAAGAAAATAATTTGAAAGCTCTATTTAGAATATTCCATGCGGTCTGGACACTGAACCTTGGACATTCAGCACAGTTTCTCCAGAATGCCAGCAGGGTTATAAGCATAGACCCCTCTCTCAAAGCCCACTGGCAGCCAGTTCACGAACACACATTGGATCCAAACTTGAGGTCAGGATTGGTAGAATTCCTTGATGTTTACGGCACAGAAACAGGCCACTCTGCCCATTTATCCATGCCAGTATTTATAGAGCTTCTATTCCATCATACAAATACAGATAGGGTGTGTAAATTGTGCCATTTAGACTCCATTCCGGAAAGGACAATTCTCCCACTTGTACAGTCAGTTATTTTTCTGGTCAAATAAGCATGTTGTGTTGTGATAGTTCTTAAATTAACACACAATGTTGCACTCGGTGAGGTAAAGATAAAAGTCATGATAGTCTTACCAGTCAATAGGGCTGCTCTTTCATTACAGGGAGACAGCTGGGGGTTGTTTAGCCTGAGGATCGCCACATCTGAGGTGAGGGGAGAGGTTGAGAAGGAGAGTCTTTCATTGGAACCTCAGCTGGAGTGGGAATTGAACCCATGTTGTTGGCCTTACCCTTACATCACAAATCAGCATCCAGCAAACTGACCCACATCATTACAGTCTCCTGATACTAAATTCTCGGGATGTGACCATCACTGGTCGGCCTGACATTCATTGCTCATTCCTGTGGTGTCAAATTTTCAGTCTATTCTTACACAGTGAGCACCAGCTCCCTGGGTCCCAGAGGATGATTTTACTCCGTCCTGCATATTGAGTCAAGGAGCCATTTACAGAACAGGAAGATGTCACTCAGTCCATTGAGTCCAAAGTGGAACAATCCAGTCAGTCCCAAACCCTGTTCCATCCCCATAGCGCTGCCAGGTTTACTTCCTCCAAGTGCCAAATCCAAATTCTTTTTGAAATTATTGATTGTAAAAAGGGTTCTGCCTCATAATCCTCTATATCTCTTGCCCAACCTGCCCAACTTATATAAATCTGTCATTATCTTATTTACCTCCATCAACTTTCCCTTTAATTTTCTTTGCTCCTAGCACAACAACCCTGGTCTTTCTAATCTACCCTGGTAACCGAAACCCTGAAGCTATTCCGGTAAATCTCCTCCATACCCTCCCAAGGTCACTCACGTCCTTCCTAAAACATACTGACCAGACTGGATGCAATAACTCTATTTGTGGCCTCTGCAGAGCTTTTTATAGGTTTAGCTTAACCTTTCTATTTTCGTGTTCAATGTCTCTACTTATGAAACCCATGATCCTATAAGTTTTTGTTCACCAATCTCTCAATATGTCCTACAGCTTTCAAATATCACTGCATTTGCACATCCTCCTAATCCTATACCTTTTTAGCTTAAGTCGACAATTACCTCTCCCCATCCCTTCTTCCAAAATACATCACTCTTCTGTATATTAATCTCCATCTGCCACTGTTTTCCCAGGCTACCATCATATGTCCTGTTACAGGCAATTCATCTCGTCCTCACTATTTGTCACTGCTCCCAGTTTGAGATCAAGAGCAAATTTTGAAACTCAACTCCAGCTTCCATGATCCAATTCATTTATATTTGATCAAAAATATACAATGGTCCTAGCCCTGGGGAACACCACTATGCACCATCCTCCAGTCTCAAAAATAATTATTTGTCATTACTCATTGCTTTCTGTCTTTGAGTCTTTTCTCAAATCTAACTGGACTCTAATCCTCCTAATCCATGAGCCTCAATTTCGAATTTCATAAATCAGACTTTCATGTGAACTGTATCAATCCATAAAGACAACATCCACCAAATTCCCCAAATCAACTTTCTCTGTTTATTCACGAAAAAAATAGATTAATCAACCGAACCTGCCACCTACAAACCAGTGCTTAAATCTCTCAAAATGCCTATTGATTTTTCACTGGCTAAGGATTTCAAAAGTTTATGCATCACTGATTGTAAAACCAACATGCCTGTTGTTGCTAGGACTGTCATAGAGTCATACAGCACGGAAACAGATCCTTCGGTCCAACCATAATCCATGCCAACCATAATCCCGAACTAAACTAGTCCCTTTTGCCTGCACTTGGCCCATATCCCTCCAAACATTTCTTATTCGTGTACTTATCCAAATTCATATACTTTTTAAACATTGTAACTGTACCCACATTCATCACTTCCTCTGGAAGTTCATTCCACACAGAAACCATTTCTTGAAAAAGAGTGTTGTATTATCTGATCCCCAACCTTCTGGCTGTTTGGATGCCTCGTTAGACAGGGTGTACTCAAGAATGAGGTTTCTGACACTAAAATGAGTTCTAAAGGCTGATAGGACTGACTGGAAATCTGCTAAGGTTCTATCAGCATCTTGCCTGATAAAGATTTCTTTGTCAATGAGGCTAACTGCAGATAAGACAACACTGTTGCAGCATTGAACGGAGACCTTGAGGTAATTCTGTACCTGTGGAAGTACATCTTCCACAGTGGCTCCATCTCAGTGTTTACATCAACTGTTCGGATGCACATACGTGTGGCCATTTCGAATTATACTTCACTTGGAATATGCCTTTAACAACTTCATCTCAGTTGTGTTCAGGAACTCTGTGCTGAGGATTTCCCCCTTGTAACTCCTCAACCCTGCCTCGTGGTTTTTCAGATTCCTCTGAGGAAAATGCCACCTGCTTCAGACCATGCTGCTACCATGTTCAAATACGGGTTCTTCAGATCTTCATAGAAACTCAGGCCAGACTTCTGAGTTACTGTTAAACAATGTTTATTAGCAGATTGTACATGATGGTAAGGCTACAGAATGCAGGAGAGCCAGCCTTCTGTTACAGCTTACCTTAGAGGCTTAGCTACATAGTCATCAAACCTTATCCCAATAGACAAAAGCAGAAACTGCTGGTGAAACTCAACAATCCTGATGAAGAGTCCCAGGGCTGGAAACATTCTCCCCTGTTGCCAGACCCGCTGAGTTTCGCCAGCAATTTCTGTTTTTCTTTCAGATCTCTAGCATCCATAGTTCTTTTTATCAAAATCTTGTCTCAACAGGGAGTTTTCTACATCAAACGTTTTCGATAATGCGTGTTTTCTGTAACTGGCTGTTTTTATTTTGAGGTCTTTAAAGGATCATTATCAGCAAATGCTAGTTTAATGCCAGAAAGTTGATAATACAGTATTGCCACTGCCTGTCCCCAACCTATACTCTTGGCTTAGACATAATCCAGTTTCATCTTTCAATATGAAACAATGCTGCAGTCAAATATTCAAACACCACACACTATCTGGAAAGAGCTCCTACGTGTAAAATTCATTATATGAAGTTTGTGCATTCCATTCACCTTTCATTTTTTTGTAGTGCATTTCTATTTTTTTGTACTGCATTTCTGTTTTTTTCTTATTTATTGGCCAGGAAATGGAGGATCTCCTCTTGGCCAAGATGAAGGAGCTTAGTTCTAAAAAAGACAACAACTCAACTTCTTTACAAGGAGACATTTCGGCATTTAAATGTCTGCTTGAGTCAGAAGAAAGAAGGTGAGTATTCACTGATAAGTCACAAACGTATTGATGGTAGTTATTGGGGCCTCATTTTAAAGTTTGGTTCTGTCTTCTCCACACCCCAAAAGATGAACAGCAGCAACTCAGCAAGGTTCCCAAACCCACAACTTCTACCACCTCGAAGGACAAGGGAGGCACACACAGGAACACCAACTCCTACAAGACTCCCTCTAAGTCCTGACTTGGAAATATACCACCATTCTTTCAGCGTCACTGGATCAAAGCCCTGGAACTTTGTCCCTAACAGCACTGTACTACTCCCCACGTCACATGGGCTGCAGCAGTTCAAGAAGGCAGCTCAGCACCACCTTCTCAAGGGCAATTAGAGATATCCCCACATCCACCAAGTGATAAAAATAAATGAGAATGGACATCTTTTTTGAGAATGTTCTATGCATGTATTATGCTCCTCAGTGACAACAAGCTCTGTAGATATGTAGAATACATAGCACAGAATGGGACTACTGGTCTTATTATTCTGCACTCCAGTCATATCCCATCTTCCTTCATCTAACTTAAAGGAAATATTTCATGACACTCAGAACAGATACAAACCAGTGAGAAGCAATGATTTTGGGGAATTCCCCCCACTACCCACCCCCTCCCCACCCCCCCCTCACTCACTCACTCACTCACTCACTCACACACACACTCACACACACACACACACACACACACACACACACACACACACACACACAC